CCCCCCCCCCCCCCCCCCCCGGGGGCTGGGGGGGGGGGGGGAGCCGACCCACCTCACCCTTGGACATTAAAGACGCATAATTAAGATAAAGAGCTCGTGACTCACAAGCTGCGGTAAAATCCATCACGTTTAACTACGCTTATCCAAAGCACCATACACGCTGTGTTTTAAACTGACAGCTAGTGAACTTTATCTGGGACTCATTCCTTCTGTGCCTGTGATCAGAAGGTCATCGGTTCAAATACCCAAGTCAGCAGAGGGATGTTACCGTTGGGTCCCTGAGCAAGGCCTTTAACCCCCGATTAAATCACACCCTGCTTCCTCTATTGTATGTTGATTTGGATAAACAGGGTCTGCCGAATAGATAAACTGATTGTAGAGAGAGACGGAGGTCTTGGATTCACACCGGGTTATTCACCGAGCGACTTCCTGTGAGGCAGCAGATGGGCGCCACCTTCCCGAAATCAGGGGCATGCTGGGAAACGGGGTTGTGATGAAAAGTGTGACAAATGAGAGTAACCCCACCCTGCAGCTCCCCTCCCCCCCACCCCCAGAGACGCTCCCCGAGTTCAGTTCCCACAGACGGAACATTGCAGCTGATGGGGACGGTGAGCACTCCCCATCACAACCCCCACCCAAAAATCCACACCAGGCCAAAACAGCGCCCCTCCCCCGCCCGCCCCCAAATCCACTTTTCCTGACGGACGTCCCTCATCACAACCGAGTCACGTCATATATCCAAACACTCGACACCCACCATGCAAACTACCCATTGTCAATCAAAGGACAGAAACCAACTCCAGTCCAATTCTCTTTCAAGAAACGTGCAGCGGAAAGTTCCCGCCTGTTATTAACGCCCCCCCCTCGTATACAAAAATCTGTGCCATCACAGTTATTTAGCAGGCAGACGCCCACATCCATCAGATCTGTAAGAGGCACCTAAAACTTTCCACCCCCTCCTTCGGCACTCTCTCCTTTCATAAGCGCCTCGATCCCGCTGTGACGCTCCGGTCGGAGACGGCGGCACGCTGCCTGCGCAGGCACTGCCCCAGACGGCTACGCGTGGGCCGGACCGCGGGGCCTGATTCTTCAGCTGACAGTCACGCAGCAGGTAGCCTGGCAGCCGCACTGGTGATTTATGTTTCTCCTACTATGAACAAATGATACGGCACTGAGGCAGAAGTATCTGTGCAAAATCAGTCTTGGGCATTGCAGAGGAATTCCGATACGCACTTCTGGAACGTTTCGGCTGGGTTTCTGGGTGACTGGCGATTAATGAGGTCCAATTTATCGGTTTGCGTTAGAAACACGTGCGGTACTGTATCAACACATCAGGTTGCTCAAAAACAACAAAAAAAAAAATCAATATAAAGCAGGTGAATACAGACTGATTTAGTGGTTTAAAAGGCAAGTGAAACCGATTAGTAAGTTTCTGGCCTGAACCAGAGGGGCGTCAAGCAGAGGCCGAATCGCAATGCTGTCATGGCTGCAGCTCTGTCCTTAGGCTCCGCCCATGACTCTGGATAAAAGTGGCCGCATACCACTGCATGGCTGGGCTCTTTATGCCTGGGGGGGGGGGGGGGTGACTAGCTGTGGGCTGAGTGGGAGAGGCAGCAGGTGAGGAATAGGCGGTAACTTCCCAGCAAACTGCCTCTCTCACCCCCCGCCCCACCCGTTTCCGTACCAACATTAAACAACAGTGGCGCCGGAGACAAAGCCTTAGATGCAGTCAGCTGATAAACCCTGACCAGAACAGACACTGCAATCAAAAGCATTAGCTGTCGCGGTTCGAGAGCACAGGCGGCGGGTGCCTGCTGCAGTAGGTTAGTGCCCCTGAGCAGAAGGTCACTGGTTTAGGTCCCAGGGTCAGCAGAATGTCGCTTTTGGGGCCCTGAGCGAGGCCCTTAACCCCCAGGTGCCCCAGGGATTGGTTGACCCTGACCCCAACGCTAATGTAACGTAATGTTCTCCTCAGGTGAGTTATTTCGTCGGGGGGGTCTGCTTATCGTCACTGAGGCCGGTGACCTCAGAGTGAACCATGGAATGACGACCCCCCCCCCACTGGGGGGGCTTAGTCATGCACAGGAAAGCACACCCACCCCTCACAGTGGCAAGAGCGAGACAAAGACTGTACTCCCCCCCCCCCGCCGATCCACACCCCTCCCTCTTTACGACGCTCACGCAGAGCACAGGAGCCCAAACCGGGCTTAGAAGCCGCCAGCCGCTTATCCGAGGCGCGGTGACTCAGCCCGGTCCGGCCTGCCAGCCGCCGCTCGCCGAAACACACGTCTGTCGGCTCGCCGGTGGAGCCAAGGGCCTCGTGGGATGTTGGGCGGGACTGAAACCGGGCAGGTAAACGGAAACGTCCTTTATCTTCTCAGCGTAGCCATGAACATTCATACGGCTCACAGCAGACCTCACGGAGTAAAGGCACCAATGATACTTATAAAAACATAAGCAAAGAAAAGAAAAATCACACTCAAGCAGTTTCAAAAGGCAAATGCTTTCCGTTCACACAACACTGCAGAATTTTTGTAGCGTCTGTGTGGTGGGTTATGCATATATTACACTGTGGGGACCAAATGTCATTTGTCAAGGGGAAACTCAATTTAATGAAAATCTGTTAGTGCAATCAAAAATCCAAAAATGCCAAAAGTCTTGCATTTTGTTTGGTTACTTATGCTTGAGGCTATGGCTGGGTGGGGGTTAAGGTTGTCATTCTTGGGATTAGGGTTTTGCCCATAGAAATGAATGGATGGTCCCCACAAATATATGAATAAGAACTTGTGCGTAAGTCAGCCCCCTCATGACCTTCTCTGCACTGTCGCCCTCCATCTTTCAGGTCTTGTCATGGCACATCCTACCCAGCATCCTTTGCATGGGGGGAGACCAACCTGGTGCGAGACAGCTGACTCAGAGGTCACCCAATCGCAGGGCCCCATTGGAGGGTGTCAGTGGTGCAGATGGGTGTGGGGGCCGCAGGGCCTGGCTGGCCGCTGACTCACGACGCTCAAATGACTTCATTCGCATCCTTCGATTTATCAACAGAGCAGAGCGGCAGCACCACTGACCGAGCCGAATAAAACGGGGGGGGGGGGGGGGCAGAAACAGCGTTAATCACATGCCTGCTAGAGATACTAATGTCTGGAATTATAATGCACTGTCCTGACAGGGAAGTGGGCCATTCCTCAAAAGCGATGAACGGGAAAATAAAGCACAAAAGGAAAAGAAAACGGAATGAGAGACGGAGTCATCCGCTTTCGTCTCGCTTCTCTGAGTCGACGGGTTTCCGAGCCACAGCGAGCTGTTAGAAGCGTCTGCTGAGGCCTGGATTAAGGAGGAGTACTAAAGGGGAGTACTAAAGGGGAGTACTAAAGGGGAAGCCCGGCGGTTTGACACAGGGCCAAAGACCACAGCCACCCCCTGACCACTTTCGGCTGCTTGTTTTGGAGCCCGAGATGAAAGCCCAGGCAGACCAGAGTACAGGAAAGAGCTGCCAGGGATGGGGGGTTGAAACAACAGCCGGGGCCACAATCCCAGGTGCCACGAAACAGTCATGGCGATGTAAGCAAAAAGCCACAGGGCTGTACTCCCTAAAGCTCCACATACTGCAGTTACTGTAAGAAACGGTGACACAGTCGTACAGATGGGTTTCATTTATGGCCCCTTGCAGACACTCATCCCCACAGTGTTTATTCACGCCGCCACTTTTATCACATCCAAACCGCTGTGACTGCGGCCAAAATCATATTAAGAAAATATATAAAAAACACAAAACGCAGGATTTAACAGGCCGAGAGGAGCACCAGTCAGTCCGTCAGTTTAATCACCAGAGCGAGGTTCACACCGCAGGGTGTTCAGCCAAAATGAACGATGCTCTGAGCGGCATCCAAGGAGAGCAGCCCCTCGAACCGGGAGCCGCGAGGGTTCGGCTCCCTAGTCGCCCCGTCCTCTAGCCGCCACACAAGCAGCTGGCACACTTTCAGCCCAGACTGCAGCTCACCCACTGCGTCCACCAGACCGAGCGTGCACCTTTGCAAAGACACACACCGTGCGCGTTTGTGAATGACTCACGCCTGAAGAGCTCGAATCACGGAGACTGGGCAGTTTCGATACCAGCGCAAAACGGCCGACGTCAATCTAAGTAACCTCTAAGAACACAGAAACCCGCCTACGAGTGACATGTCCCTTGTCCAAGTCTGACCCCTTCCATGATTAATCTGGTCACCCCCCCCCATCCCACGCATGATGTCCTATGACTCATAAAAGTTGCATGATTACCACAGACTACATAACTGCAACATAATATAGTAGCTGAGGACTAAATGTTCCCCTTAAGTGCTAGTCCAGAGCCAGTCCCGCTGTGCAAACTGCTTCTTGAACCTGCGTTTGTGGGCGTCAGGAGGCTGGGGTCTCCATCAGCCATCAGTGTCTGCTCCTGAACACGACACTCTCTCTGGTTGGCTACCAGGGGGCCAATGAGCCGCTCAATGAGAGACCGCCAATGTCTTACATTTCACTCCTGTACCTGGCTAAATATTCACCTTCTCTTTTTATTCCACAGGGAAGTGTCCTTTGCACGATGGGGGGGGGGGGGGGGAAGCCATGCACCGAAGACGGTGCGTTTCCTGTCGTGCCACCACCACCGCACGCTCGAATACAGATCGCGCACTTCAGAGGCCCCTCTCTAAACTCACAACACGCAGGATTTCCAAGTTAAAAATACACACAGGAAGCCGGCCCATGACACCGGCTTTTGAAGACACACACTCCTCAGTGCCCTGCTCTGGAGGATGGGTCTCCATGTGAGAAGTTTCAGCGCGGTGCCCGAAACATTCAGATTTACACAGCACCCCCTCATCTGCATATCAAACGCAGAGATGCGCCCCGATACTCATTCGCCAGCAGTTTTGAGATGACCGCACACCTATACTTGTCAATACTAGAAAGACGTCTGTTCTCGCTACCGCAAAATGTAAACAGAGGTGCATTAGCTAAGCTGCAAATATGCTAGGAATGCTGAAATTCATTTTAAATACCAATTAACATATCAAAGTTACAGAAAACTATTCAGTCAACGTGCAATTATGTAAGAACAGACCATAAATTTATGTGATGTGTATAACACTATCATTATCATCATCATTATAATAATTATTATTATTATTGTCATTGTACCCAATTATTATTATTATTATTATTATTATTATTATTATAACAACCATAATAATAATACAACTATTTTTGGGGTGGGGCAGGTACAGCCAGCAGACTGCAATGCATTTTCCGTTCCTCAAAACCCTGAATTTAATGAATGAGAACGATACTCAAAGAAAATGTGTACATAGCGTAAAAAATGCTGATACCAGTGTGAATGATTCCTGTTTTAAATTCCGCTGAATGACGCCCGGACTAAAATAAACCGCTGCTGAACCACCAGAGTTTCTTGGAAGGCCCGCTATCGCGCTGCGCGCCCGTACGAGCCAGCAAACCGCACGCGCCGCCGCTGCCCTGACTTCGCAGAAGACGGCGGGATTGACGCACATGCGGGGCGGGGCTTGCCCGGACTCGCCTCTCTTCACACCCCGCATAGACGTTGCTGGGAGACCAGAGGGAGTTCCTTAAAATATGCACAGCCCTTGACTAGCGGGCGAGCCTTTCCGGGCCGAGAGATTACAGAAAGCCTGGGAAGCTAATAGCTTAGCCAGATCCGTATTTACCTCTGCAGAATACCACAACTCCCCCTTTTCTTTAGACTTGGGTGCAATTTACTAGTCGGGCTCCAACTGGTCTTTCATAATCCCAATTTAAAAAAAGCACAAAATCATAGTATAATTATAACCTCTACATTACTACATGCATATAGAAATGTTAAAAAAATCTTACCTGAGTTTCTGTTAAACTCTCTAAAGCTTGCATGATGGATTGTTCTGGCTTTGGGGCTTGGGACTACACAAACACAGAGAAAATGAGAGAGAGAGAGACACACATTTAAAACCATGTATTATTTTTGCAAACATGCTGCATCACACCATTAAAAACATTAGATATTTTTAATTTAATTAAAATTTCGCTAGTCAATGCAACATCGGTATACAGCTAAGTGTTATAATACTGTTTGCATGGGTTTTACTGGGCAACTATAATGCATGGGAATAATTCTTACCATCAAACCTGCCTCAACTGTTGGTACAAGTGTTAACCTGCTCCCATCTGAGACACCAAAATCCTGCAGCTTTCCTGAATGTAGACGCCTGTGGATAAAAAGTAACAAAAGAATGAAAAATAAGTTCTAAAAAAAAATACAATGAATTAAGTTGTGCTACAAAAGAACAGAATAACAATGTAACAATAATAAAATTAAGTCCTTCCTGTTTTTCAGTGACCTTGAAATGCAGATAGTTACCAGAGTGTCATAAAAAGATAAGAACGAAACACAGAAAAGGAAATTCGCCAATATGATATGACATCACTGCACAATCCGACCTACTGGTTTAATATGGATGCGGAATGTCTATTGAAGCTTCTTATATTCACGTAGACAGCTTTACATCCGTGTATTTAACATTCCAAAATATAAACTTTATTTTGTATCTGATGTCTGTACCCGTCTGGCCTACATATAATAATAAAACTCATAATTGCTGCGTGTTTGATTCATTTATTGATATTCACTGCATATTCATCGAAATCGAAAACGCAGACTGCAGCAGTTACCTTTCGATTCACGTTAAGACAAATGTTTCCACGTTACAGGGGATTCGCATTCATGCCGCGCGCGGAAGCCGATCGAAAACTCCATGTCAACTTCATGCAGAAAACGCCACTTTGATGCAATGCCCGTCCCGTGGGGGGGTTAAACTCTCCGCGCGTTGCAACGTGACACAAGACATTTCGACATTACTTTGACGTTAAAGCGTTACTTCAACGGGAAGTGGATGCAATCGTCCTGGAGAACGATCTGTAACTGGCAGCAGTAAGCAAGATCCATCCGGCTTATAAACGATGATCCGAGCATTCGAAGACGTTACCGAAATGGAAATAGCATTAGCTTATTTCCTGCTTATTTTCAGGGTTATGATCAGACACAGAACGCACACATTCGAAGTTACCTATACGGACAGTTTGTGGTCCTATATTACATGAAGCATTGCGCAATTACACCCAGGACTCCTTTACATGCTAATTGCAATATTATTTAACTTTACAGTTGCCCTGCCCCCCGTTTTCCGCACATACACACGCCGAAACAGCATAAATCCCCTCTGCCATGCCGAATATAAACATGTCTGCACAGCCCGCTGTCGTTAATAAGCGAGGCAGACCGATAAAGCGGGGAGGCTGGTGGCAACATTTTTGACAGCAATTTACCTGTCACTTAATATATCCCATACACATTAGGTCGATCAGTTAAGTCACTCCGTCTCGGGAAACCGTAAAATAATAATAATAGAAAAAATAAGCAATCTAGGACTATATAAAAATTAGATGCAATTGATGGGTATAACGCTCAATTGTATAAATGATCATATTATAAATTCCATTGGCCTCATCGTCCAATGAAGCTTTTTGAAAGCATTTTGTAAAAAGCTGGCCGTAGCGCTTCTTTCAGACCAGGTGCAAACCGCACCTGAAGGGTCATTTTCATGTGCATGTTTACTCACGTCTCCTTGTGCAGCAGAGCAAGTCGCTCCTTGGGGACGCGGAGCCTTTGCGAGAGCCTCCTCTTCAGCCCCTCCACCGTCTCTTCCAGGGGAAGGGAAACTTCGAAGCGTGTGCCGGTTGTGGAGTGAATAAGCACATTCATGGAGGGCTCGCTTGGGACGGCCTCGCAGGACGGAGCTCCGCGACTGGTGCAGCTACTGGCGGTGGGATGCTGGTCCATTCGAGTCTCTGAGTTTGTAAATGGGAAACCGAGGGAGGATTTTTAAAATTTCTATAACTTTACGGCTGCGGAGGAAAAAAAAATCCCCAACTCTAACTGGATCTGTCTTCAAGTCGATGGGGACAAAAGCATTCTTTATGTGGTTCCTTGAGCCAGTGATCCACGTACACAGTATTTCCCTTTTGTCCCCCTAGAGCCAAAAAATAGATAACGAACGCTATTCTTACCAAAGATTTTCCCTTTTTCTGCATATATTACTAATTTCTATATTTTCCTTTTCGGTTACGGGGGTGTGCTTGCGATCCCACGACCAGAACAGATGTCCCGTTTTAAAGACTGCATACGTCGATCACTGAAAAGCTACTGAGCTAACAATAGAATCTGTACTGCAAAATCGACCTTGCAGTATAAATCATCTGTAGACTTATTTCCGCATGTTCAAATAAAGGCAGAAGAATTATATGCTAGAAAATATTTATTTTATGAGCTAAAAAAATGAATGTGTGCAGAATGTATCTTTCGGCGTCAGGTTCCACAAAACTACACACGCCTTAAAAAAGTAACAAAGTCCTCCGGTCTCTGCCCATGCTGCTCACGGCGACTCCAGCGCAAAATCACCGACAGCGGGCGCATCGGAGCCCTGCTCCTCCACACTGAGACCACGCCTACCGCACAAAGTCCTTCTGACCTATCACCGGAATAAATGCGTAGACTTTGCTAGCAATGACCTATCCGCAAGCCGGTTAAAACCACCCACGTGGTGGATAGGCTCCACCCCTAACCGTCTACCACGCTTTGTGAAAATAACCAATCAATTCACGGCTAATGTGACGAATCACGCTTAGGTACGCAACTGTGCCCGCCCTCTCCAGTCATTCATAATGTGACACGACCACAGGAACTTATGCGATATACGAGACAATGTTTTATCTCTGAAACTGAATTATATTCTTTAGTTTTGCTTTAATCAGCAAGCATTACCAGTATAAGTCAGTAGATGGATGGATTCTCAGCAGGAAGTACAAATGGACAGTCGGCACATTTCCTGTCCTGTCCACATGTCCTGGCTAAAGTGGATAATGAATTTAGACTATATGCGAGCTAAATAGTGAGATTGCAGTTTTCAGTCCTATCAGTATCAAAGTGAAAAATCAAAACCATGACAACGTCATTGCGCCCGTTCACCAATATTTAAGCAAAAGCTATACTAGTTTTAAACCATGTCTTTATTAATATAACAATATTAATGTTTGCAGTCATGTGAATTACCTGATAAAGTCATACTCCCCTACGTAGGCTGATGCATTGAAGTAACCGACGGACACTAAAATTTTAAAGGGAAATCATTCCGCCCTCTAGCGGTGAAACACCAACACGCATTATTTTGCGAATTGGGCAATATAGCACACAAAGCAGATTGTTTAAGTTTGGTTATGCTTTCGATTTTCAAATCTGCATATTTGTAACAACAACAATAATAATAACAACTTATATCATTATTATTATTATTATTATGTGTTATTTTATTTTAGTAAAAAACTACTAGTAGGTACATTCTAACGAGACACTAAAAATCAACATACTTATTTGGACCAAAATTCACTTGTATTTTGAATACAAACAGAAAACAAACATTGATTTGCTTATGCTAAACTTTCCATTTGGTAAATCTAAATATTTAGTGGACGCCTTTGGCTAAACTGACATACAAAAGGGTATCCAATGCAGCTGGGGCGAAGGGACTTGCCATAGTATTAGGCGCTACTTGAACCAACCGCCTCCCAGGCATATCAAGCCTAATCGTATGAGCTGCATACCGCCTCATTCTCTATCCGTGTACGAGCCACGGACAGTCTATGGGTTAAGGAATCAATACTACATTCTCTAAAGTATCCAAATTTCGGTACTTGGTGGGAAAGTACGGTTACATCTTTTAAAGTGTTTGCAGGTTTCAAATGGCTAGATAGATGAATATGTGAAACGGAGCGTAGACAATCTAACTAGAAAAACTACCTGCTAGACAAATTTATGAAGCATGCAAACTAACTCCGAATTACACGGCAGAGACGTTCTCTGCAGTAACAGATACACATTTAGCGCAATAGCCTATTATAAGGTTTCGACACAAACGTGATACATACTTTAGTGTTGTTTTCGCCAGGTTAAATAACAGGGCAAGGTGGGATCGCCGCGTGAAATTCTCCCAAAAGGCTGTGGATGCATGGTTTCTATGTGACTCGCTATCCTGCCCTGTATGACAACAGCTTTAGTCACCTTAGGCCCACACCACAAGCAGGTGTGCATATAGCGTGTGTACGTGTGAGCAGAAATGCAGAGGGGGAAAATGCCCGACCTGGGTGTTAGGCAATCTTACATGACAACAGTTCCCTTTGATAACACAATTCCTGGCATATTATACAAAGGGAAGGCAAACGGTGTACGAGCGTAGTGATCGCTGGCGGACGCGTTTATTTCATCCCCATTGTTCTTAATTAATTACTCAAACGTCGCTGGCCGACTTGTCCCTCTTGTTCTGTACATTCTGTGCAATATCGACGCATAGTAAAGCTACTTCACAACGATCTCCTTTGTCAGTCTTGCTCCGTACATGCTACGTGTATTATTATAATTTTCATAATAGCAGTGTTTAAAATGGCAATAAGTCACATTACTAGGCTTCAAACGACATAATAATGGCTGTGAAGTAATTATATTTTAAAGATGAAAATGTAATAATTAAACTTACCAATCACCGTAGTTTGAAATCTTCCTCAGTTGTACAGTGTAAATCCGAAATAACGCAAAAATGTTCTATCGAGAAAAGCACCAAATCCTCACAAAGTAGCTGAAAGCCTTTATTCTGTCAGACAAGTGCGATACGTCCCAGGCGCTTTAGTTCATAGACAATGCAGCTGTCGAGGTGGGACACCTCTTAACTGAGTTGTTTCGGATCTGGGTGGAGAACTTAGTAATTGTCCTGTCAGCCAGTGATTTAAGGTAGTCTTGGGAGTTTCGAGGATTACCGCCTCCACAGTACGGCTCTGGGCGCTATCGAGGCTATACTTTGATACCATAATATGTCACATCAGCGATCTGAAGTTCAAGAACACGTTTTTAACTTGTGTAATTTTCGAAATGTTCTTCAGTTACAGCTACGTGCCATCAGCCTTCTTTAGTGCGCAGTCATGTTGTGACAAATAAGCTACAGTATTCAAGTCTTATAAGGAATTTGAAAACGTGATAAATATAGTTGAGAAGGCCTTCCAGTAATGTAACATTACTGGACTTCAGCGGTCACATACTATAACAGAACATTTACATTGCTTGTTCCATATTATTATTATTATGCATTTAACATCAAATTGAAATTGTACTCTTTATACGAATCCATAATAATGAAATCAGGGATAATTTGTCTTTGACTACAAAAATTATTTAAATGTATTGCAGTATTATGAAGTGGTATATAATTTCTAAGTAAGTATATAAGGTGCGGTTGGGTTCTTGTCTTCGCTCGAGCCACCTTAAAAAGGGTTAAGCAGCGCTAATGAGGAGAAGAGACGTCATCTTGTGACGACAGGGCGAGATAGAGGGAGGCAAACAATCGCTAGGCAACAAGCAAATGAAAACACGAGACAGCGTCATTCCTGTAAAATCACACACATCTTATTGGATAGAGCAGTAAGGAAGTTGTTTTTTGACGTGCGGTATAATAAGATAAAATCAACAAAACAACAAGGGGACTACAGGAACCGATGTAATCTCATTAATAATGATATTAAGCCTGTCTCGAAGTTTGTGTTTACACACACATACACAAACACACACACAGGTTTGTAATTGTATATCCATTGGAACTCTCCATTTATTTCTATGGGGGAAACTCTACCCAGCCATAACCTTAACCATAAGTAACCAAACAAAATACGAGACGTTTGGCATTTTTACTTTTTAAATTGCAATCACAGATCTTTGTGGGGACCAGGAAAATGGTCTCCACAAGGTAAAAAAAACAGGTATTTCTCACATTCTGGGGAACATTTGGTCCCCTCAATGTAATATAAACCTAATCCACACAAACACACAGACACACACACACACACACACACACACACATATATATGCATATACAAACACACACATATATATATATGATTTTATAATATAGAAGGGAATCATATCTAATAACATAATATATATATAATTATGTAACACAAACTTTTTATATATAGGTTTACAGGTTAATACTCATAAACAAATGCTATAGTTTCTGTTGTGTTTCGAATATGACGTACTGATCGATATACATAACAAATTCAGGCTAAGTCCTTTTCCCTTTAACGAGAAATCATTGGTCTCATAATTGAATTGTGATGTCATGCTTCTCGCTAAAGAAGAAGACAATGGCTTCTAAACACAGCCATCTAAGATGCTACAGGAGAACTATTTGTGTGTCCTGTATTTCAGACGCGCACTCGTACCAGCACACTGAGTCAATGTTTTTATCTTTTCTTGAAGCGTATGCTTGTGTAATGTTTTGATGATGCTGTGCTGTTCATTCCACTTGGTGGCTTGTATATGAAAACATACGCCATTGGTTTTGGGGAAGGTCACACCCATTGACTCCTCCCATTGGCTGAAATATCTCCTGCTCACTCCATCCTGTGGATTCCGGCAAAGCTGACTCAATGCCTGGTGGAGTTTGAACATCCAGTACAAGGACATGAGGCGTTTTCTGAGGTGTCCCCTTCATTATTTATCCATGTCACTGCCTGTCTTTCATCCTGTCCCTGTTTCCTGCCCCTCACTTTATCTTCTGAGTGTCATTATGTCCATTTACTCAAGCCTGAGCACCACCTATATCAAACTATTTAGATCTTGTTTGTTTTTAGGCAAAGCGTGCATGTTTTTAATATTAAATATTAATGTGTAGTATATGTTTGTGCTAGCATTCTGTCACCTCGATGGCTGCAGGATCACGTCCCTTGGCACACCACTGAGTAACAGAACATCCTCTTGAATCATTGAGACTAAGTTGGGAGGGGCCTGCACCTCTGTGAGAGTCACTGGTTCCAGTACCATCAGGATAGGATGTGTACACACTGGATTGGTGCAGTAACACATACCATTCATATTACTGTATTTTCATCCTATATTTTTTTCAAATGTAATCTGACAATTGTAACTGAAAAATTAAGGCAGGTGCAAGTGGCTTCAGGAAGCAAATTTGATATGCCTGGTTTGCCATGTCGGAAAATCAAGAAAATACCAAAGGTTTTTTTTCTTAAAAAATTGTACTCTTGATGGGGGGGGCATTAGTGTTGTGTGGTAAAGAGGGAGCAGGGATCTTATAAGCAGAAGCTGGCTTGTTTGCTGTCCGTGCCCCCTAAGGACTGGCACTGTCTACACTTCCAGTTTCGATCAGGCAGGACAGTCAAACAATTAAAATATGTGACTCACACATATGACTCACACTTCTGTCCATTTGCCTGGCAAAAAAAAACAGAAAGGACTTTACCTCCAAGCAATGGCGGATAGCCTGATGCAGTGAGGCAAAATTGCCCTCTGTAAACAGCTCCGGCGGGTGGTATTCGTGGTGCCTCTTTTCCTGCTGTGTTCTCACTGTTCCCTGACCCCTTCGTCCGTAAACCGAAACAGAAGGAAGTGGGTGAACCAGGTTCACCACAGAGTGTTCTGACTGGCTGCATCGCTGTCCGGATTGGGAATTGCGAAATGCAAGATCGCAGCTCCCTGCAGTGGAGAAGATAATCAGGACCTCTCTGCCCTGCAGCAAGGATACTTTCCACGAACACTGCATTTGCAAAGCCTCTGTGTCACAGAAGACCCTCCCATCCTTCCCGCGGACTCTCTGTCCTGCTCCGTTCTGGCAGCAGGTACTGGAGCATCCGAGCCACTTCTGCTGGCTTCAACGACAGCTTCTTCCAGGGCC